AGCCGCTGCGGCTCCTCCCCAAATTGACTTTTTAACTTTATTAGTAGGGTTAACTTGCTAATAAACGAGGCTGCTAGGGTAAATTCCCTGGCATTCGTCTAGTCCACCCTCCTGCCTTGGGCAGGGATGTCTTTCACTAGACTGCGTTGCTCAAAGCCCCGTCCAACCTGACCTTGAACGCTTCCAAGGATGGGGCATCCATACCTTCTCTGGGCAACCTCTGCCACTGCCTCACCACCCTCCTTGTGGAAAATTCCTTCCATATGTCCAGTCTAAATCTACCCTCTTTCAGTTTGAAACCATTACTCTGTCTTTCTTAGAAGCCCCCTTTCTATATTGAAAGGCCGCAAAAAGGTCTCCCACGCTCCTCTTCTCCAGGCTGAACAACCCCAACTCTCTCAGCCATAGCAGAGGTGCTCCAGCCCTCGGATCATCTCCGTGGCCTCCTCTGGACTCGCTCCAACAGGTCCATGTCCTTCTTGTGCTGAGGACCCCAGAGCTGGACGCAGTGCTCCAGGGGGGTCTCACCAGAGCGGAGCAGAGGGGCAGAATCCCCTCTCTCGCCCTGCTGGTCACGCTTCTCCAGATGCAGCCCAGGACACGGTTGGATTTCTGGGCTGCCAGCGCACATTGCCGAGTCACGTCAATTTTTCATCCACCAGCACTCCTAAGTCCTTCTTGGGAGGGCTGCTCTCCAACCACTCACCGCCCAGCCTTTATCCATGTTTGGGATTGCCCCGACCCAGGTGCAGGACCTTGCACTTGGCCATCTGGAACGTCATGAGGTTGACATGGGCCCACTCCTCCAGCCTGTGAAGGTCGCTCTGGATGGCATCCCTTCCGTCAAGGGAATCAACCGCACCGCTCAGCTTGGTGTCATCCGCAAACCTGCTGAAGGAGCACTCGATCCCATTGTCTATGTCATCAATGAAAATATTTCATACTGTTGGTCCCAGTATGGACCCTTGGGGACACCGTTCATTACTGGTTTCCTCTTGGACATCGAGCCATTGACTGTAACTCTTTGGACACGGCAGCGAGCCAACACCTGATCCATCTAACGGTCCATCCATCAAACCCATCTCTCTCCAATTTAGCGGCAGGAACGTTGTGTGGGACCGTGTGTGTGGATTCAATGATCTTAACGGTCCTTTCTAACCTAAACGATTCTATAAATGATTCTACATCAAAGGGCTTACAGAAGTCTAGGTAGATGACATCCGTAGCTCTTCCCTTGTTCACCAATGCAGTCAGTCCATCGTAGACGGCCACTACTTTTGTCGGGCACGATTTGCCCTTGGTGAAGCCATGGTCGTTGTCTCTGGTCACCTTCCTGCCTTCCATATGTTTCCACATGCCTTCCACGAGGATCTGCTCCATGATCTCACCAGGGAGGATGAGATGCCTCTCTTGAAGGCAGGAGTACTAGCAGTAAGGCAGTAGCAATAATTTACCTACAGTGAGTGCTGGCTTTTTTTTAAATGAAATTAATGGAATTTAAGCCATTTTTGTTAAAACTAGCACTTAGCAAAATGATGAAGGTCATCAGCATCCTGGCTTTGGGGTTGAACGTGCAGCTCCTGTGAAAGACAACCTGAAAACCCAAAGCTCAAGTCTGTAGGAGGACACATAGAGATGGGGAACGGGCAGGTCCTGGGGTCAGCTGCGTCACAAGCTGTGGGGCTGGATTTGGCCAAGGATTTTTGGGCCAGATACGTTAAAGAGTGGTGTGGAGGACACGGGAGAGAGAGAGAGACCCAAGAATGAAAGCAGAAGGCTGCGTATTTTGGAGAGATCAGCAGAGTCGCCTTGGGGACGGGACCTGGGGACAGGGCAGGGCTAAAAGCAGGCAGAAGAAGGACAAAGGAGCTACCAAGTGGCTTGGAAACCTTGAAGACCATTCCTTCCTTGCACCATGTCGGTGCCATGAGCCCCTTCCCTGGCTACATGGCGAAGCGCAGAGATGGGCGGGAGTGACGGGCAGGCTCGAGCTCCATCTCTGGCTTTTGTGCAGCTTTGCTAATTAATTAGGCGCCTCGAGAAGATGCCCAGGGAGGTCATGCCTTGGCATGACCCGGCAGCGCTGTAGGGCTGCGGCAACTCTCTTGGCTTTGTGGCACTCGGATCTTGGCTGGGGGGAGCCCCCG